GTGATGCCAATGGCAACATAATAGGGGAATTTTACCCCTGTACCTTGGATGAGCAGAAAAACAGGCTAATTGAATGGGCACACTGAATATCTCCCTCTCATTAACCTTATTTCATGACATATTACTGAAACGGAAGCAATCAGGGGACATGATGCTCGTACCGTCAGTGTCCCAACTTGGCAGTACTAAAAATATGCCTAGATGAGGATGGAATTGAACGAGGCGGCCTTCCCCGAAGCGCTAGGAAATGGGAAATACTAACAGCAGTTCTGTGGAGAAGCAAGGCACTAGCAGCAACAGCGGGGCAGCAGCGGCGGTGCGGCGGTGGTGGCAGCGGCGGCCAGCGCCGCGGCGGTGCCAATGTGCTTGAAGTAGTCCAGGCTGGTGGGATTGGAACTAAACGAGACAGTGGCACATGAGTGAATATGGACATGCTGGATGGGGTCGAGGTCACTTCACGCGGAAAACGCAAACGACAGCATGATGATGTGGATATTTTATTCCTAAATGCTGTAACTAATGTAAAGAGTTTGGGGGAGTCAGAAGTGATAATATCTCCCATTTTCTACTCAGTAATACACAGAAATAAGTCTCTCTATCCCCTTGGGGGATGATTAAACAAATTAAACTTGTACCCTGACAGCCTGAGGTTATGCTGCCCCCTGATTATCACATTTTTTTTCCATACTCGTTATCCTGGAATCCACCACCCAGTCACCTGAAATCCCTGTTGTACTGCTTCTTTTTTTTCTACTTAGTAACACACAGAAATAAAGTCTCTATATTCCCCTTGGGGATGATTTTAAACATATTAAATTGTTCCCTGACAGCCCTGCGAGGTTATGCTGTCCCCCATTAACACATCTTTTCCACACTTATTATCCTGGAATTCCGCCAGTGTCTCTAGATCGACGACTTTATACTACTTACACTCATCTTGTTTTTATATGCAACTATTTGATGTTGGTTACATAACATGTTTTGCTCTACCAGGAAGCATTAGTTCACAAGTAGCCCAACTTTGAAGAGGAAAAACTTATGATACATTTTCGATTGGCCTTGGATCAATGATTCAAGTTTAGATTAAAGGAGAAAATTGCAGAGTAGACTGAGAGACAGGTTGAGAAGTAGTAGTAGTAGTGGTAGTAGTAGTAGTAGTAGTAGTAGTAGTAGTTGTAGTAGTAGTAGTAGTGTAGTTAGTAGTAGTAGTGTAGTAGTAGTGTAGTAGTGTAGTAGTAGTGTAGTAGTAGTAGTAGTAGTAGTGTAGTAGTAGTAGTAGTAGTAGTAGTAGTAGTGTAGTAGTAGTAGTGTAGTAGTAGTAGTAGTAGTAGTAGTAGTGTAGTAGTAGTGTAGTAGTGGTAGTAGTAGTAGTAGTAGTGTAGTAGTAGTGTAGTAGTAGTAGTAGTAGTAGTAGTAGTAGTAGTGTAGTAGTAGTAGTAGTAGTAGTAGTAGTAGTAGTAGGTGTAGTAGTAGTGTAGTAGTAGTAGTGTAGTAGTAGTGTAGTAGTAGTAGTAGTAGTATTGTAGTAGTAGTAGTGTAGTAGTAGTAGTGTAGTAGTAGTAGTAGTAGTAGTAGTGTGTAGTAGTGTAGTTAGTAGTAGCAGCAGTAGTAGTAGTAGTAGTAGAAGTAGTAGTAGTAGTAGTAGTGTAGTAGTGTAGTGTAGTAGTAGTAGTAGTTGTAGTGTAGTAGTAGTAGTAGTTGTAGTGTAGCAGTAGAGGTAGTAGTGTAGTAGTAATAGTAGTAGTAGTGTAGTAGTAGTAGTGTAGTAGTAGTAGTTGTAGTAGTAGTAGTAGTGTAGTAGTTGTTGTTGTAGTAGTAGTAGTAGTAGTAGTGTAGTAGTAGTAGTAGTAGTGTAGTGGTGGTGTAGTAGTGTAGTAGTAGTATTATTATATTATTTTAGTAGTAGTAGTAGTAGTAGTAGTGTAGTAGTAGTGTAGTAGCAGTAGTAGTAGTAGTAGTAGTGTAGTAGTAGTAGTAGTAGTTGTGTAGTAGTAGTTGTAGTAGTGTAGTAGTAGTAGTAGTAGTAGTAGTAGTAGTAGTAGTAGTAGTAGTAGTAGTAGTAGTAGTTGTAGTAGTACTAGTAGCAGAAGTAATAGTAACAGTAGTAGTAGATGAACTAATAATTAAGGAAGTCGTAGTAGTCGTAGTCGCAGTAGTAGTAGGTAGTGTAATTAGAGATATAGGTTGTAGTACTAGTAGTAAAAATAATAGAAGTAGTAGGAAACTTTGGTGAAATTAGTCTCCCGCTTTCTGACAAATTTAAAGAATAAAAAAGTGTTAGACTCGCTGAGAGTCATGATTAGAAGATAGCGTGTCTTGTATAAAAAGGGTCCTCTGAAAAAAATCGAAATTGGTTGTCTTCACAAACCCCCCTTTGTTGAATGGGCCTTATACGAAAAACATTCCAAACATAAATTTTTTTGTTTTTGTAGATGTCTCCCTTTCTAATACTTTTGAAGAGCCTCTTTTTAAAACATTGTGAGTAGCCTAACCCCACCCTTTTCTTTTTGCAGTGTCTTACGTATTTTCCCGACATTAATCTTCGACTTTTTCTTTGCCTATTATTTTTAACCTTGCTAAACCTAGACCAATCGCTGTCTCCTCTTTTCGTTTTGTTTCTTTATTATGAGTCCTTTGGGTTAGTGTTTTGAGGGTTTTGATCATCTGCTTCTCCCCCACCGTAACATACAATATCCCTTTACAAACACAATGTTTTTTTCTCGGGTAGAACAACCCTGTCACTATTCGTTTCTACTAATCTGCAAAAAATACAAGTATTTTGTACTCCTAGTACTATTATTTACTACGGGCCCCTACAAAAATGACCCAATAAATCTAGGTAAGGAGGGGAAAGCGGGGAAGTGGAGATAGGGGAAGAATGCGTCGGAGAGGGGTCTTTAGTTGTACAACGAGCTAGGGTATAACCCAGCAGCGGGAATTGGATGACGATAGACATCAACATTCAGTTGTGAACAGTGGTAGGAGCAGTTATGAGTTTAACTGCAGTCTTATATGGGAAAAATCATTTTTAAGTGTTTAAACATTCTTTCGTTATTAAAATTAAACATACGTTAAAATACTAATACACTAAAAAAAAGTATAAGTATTGTGGAAATATTGGCATTTCGAAATTATAGGATTTTAACTATAAATTTTATGAATTTCATTGTTATTGGTTAAAATTAATTTGGGAATTAAAAAGGGAACCAGCAAAATAAATAATGTCGGGTGGGGGAGGACGTCATATTGGAATTGGAGAAACAAGACGACATTGAAATTTGAGGGAATTATTCAGAGGTTCTGGAGGCTAAATGGGGTTTAATTAAGCCTCCCAAATAGGAGTACGAAGAATCAGAGTTACAGTCCTGCCGAATGTGCGAAACCAGCGACTTGGCAAGACTTGGAAATTAGATAGAAAAAGGGCGATTATGAGGAGCAATCAACTCCCACAGCTAAGATGTTGAACTTCTGGCCAGTTAGGTTCCTCATGTCTAGGCAGGGGTTGTGAGTGACCTAGCTGCACCTAGCGACCTCCACACAAATTTGGCGAGTGGTGGTAACATAAATATTTTTTTCTCATATGATGTATTAATACACGTATCTCTCCCCTCTTCCTTCCGTCATTATATCCCAATTATACAGTCCACATAATTTTAATGCAGATATTAATACCAGAATTACTGGTTGTGTTTATTAAATTTAAAGTTAATATTTATAGGTTCAGAGTAACTTGTGGGATTGTATGAGGGTAATGGGTGTCGCAGGGAGACATTCGTCTTGTGACTTAGTGTGTCTCAAAATATTCCTACATGCCTCAGAGTTGTAACAATTGGTAAGAAATAGTTATCTTTGTTGCATTCATTAAATTACTGGTATGAATATAATGAGGTTCATGCAGGTAATTAAATCCCCTACAAGTATGTATAACATAGTTATGGAATGACAATGACACTCATTTTTTTTTTACCCTGGTTTATATGTCCTGGGATGATATGTGTTAATTACAGGTAAACATTTTCTTGTTTCAAGAATATATAGAAGCTTTTACTCAACAAACATCATTTGGCAATGACATGGACTTTGAATATTCACGATAAAAATACAAAATGCCCATCATGACCTCGGTAGCGAGGCTTCAATTAAATAATAACAGTTTAAACAATTATATACTAAAATATGTCCCTCTCACACCCACTAGGAGGGTGAGTCATGTATTTTCTCGGATCAAACCTGTTAAATTAGACACATATGCAACTCTTGGGTATCTTTATTGAGGAAACGTTTCGCCACACAGTGGCTTCATCAGTCCATACAAAGGATAAACTTGAAGAACAGGAGGAGAATGAGGTAATCATTCTAATTTAACAACATGTCGGTTCTTTGAACCATTCATCTACAATCCTCTCAGACACTGCAACTTCTTGGGATCTTAATACTTGGAATTCTTCGCTTGCCTAACCCTTGGGCACGACCTACTTCCATTGGACAAATGTGACACACCTACGACTTCTGCACCTCTCCTGCCATACGGTTTATAAGCTGCTTCTCCGTTTCATATGCCGTATTCTATTCAAGATTGATGGACTGACCACATCGACTCAATTTTGAGGGTCTGATTACCTCATTCTCCTCCTGTTCTTCAAGTTTATCCTTTGTATGGACTGATGAAGCCACTGTGTGGCGAAACGTTTCCTCAATAGCAGATACCCAAGAGTTGCACATGTGCCTAATTTAACAACGTGTCGGTTCTTTGAACCATTCATCTACGGGTCACACCTGATTCCCTCCCATCCTCTATGAGGTCTATGAACCCTACGGGTTCAAGGATGTCTTATGAACATAATATTTAAAAGTGTTAATCTCTCTATGCACCATCACTGAAAGTTTTCATTAAACTATGTTTCGAAGACTCAAGAGTTCTTTCTTAGTATTCAGATAAGCTGCAGAATGAATTATCTAAGCACAATCGTCAGGCATTAAACCTAATAAGCTACATTTCCCTCTGAAGGTTTGTGACCAAGACGGGAAGTGGCTGGATGCTGAACCCATCCCAGGCACCATCCTCATACTGGCCGGAGACTTTCCCAAGTACTACTCAGACAACAAGGTGGTCGCTGCGGTGAGGTGCAGCTGGATATTGCTAAATAGCAGAGAAAGATGATTAGGAGAAAAAAAAACACTCAAGTTGCAGAGAAAGTTTTTATTTGAACAAAGTTTCGTAGTGTTTAAAGCTATACACAGATCAGGCCAAAACGTTTTCCTCATAGAATCTATCTGAAACGAGTGTTCATCCCCTATGTTGTTGCAGTGTTCCATATGGATTCTAAAACGTTAGTCAAACTTGAAAGAACAATGATCGACGTGGTCCGTCTTTATTATTATTATTATTATTATTATTATTATTATTATTATTATTATTATTATTATTATTATTATTATTATCATTCTTATAATTATTCTTATTCTTCTTATTATTATTACTTTCACCATCAGTATTATCATCATCAAATGCGTTTGGTCATTCTTCCTACGATAAGACCCACAACAATTAATTATCACCAAGGTAATTATCTATCTACTGCTAGGTGAATAAACAGTGATAGTACGTCATTATCATACTCTCTCCAGTGTCGTCAGGTTGAGTTCCCTGAATATCTCCTCATAGAACATATTCCTTAGCTCCGGGACTAGTCTTATTACAAACCACTGCACTTTCTCCAATTTTTTCATATGCTTGACAGGTGTAGGTCTGACGTACACGGTGTACATTGTCGTGAATGACTCCTTACTTAGATGTCGAAAAGCTGTTTTTAGATTTGCCAGATGCGCATTTATCATTTATGTGGTTGATGTGTGTCTCAGGAGATATGTTCTGTATGATACTCACCCCAAGGTCTTTCTCCCTGATTGAGATTTGCAGCCTTTCACTCCGGCCCCCCTCTTCCCGAGCCTATACTCCGTCTGGGGTCTTCTCTGTCATCCAAGCTTCATAACATTGCACTTGGTATGGTTAAACTCCAGGAGCCATTTGTCATACAAGGCTTACAGATCCATTTATACCCTTTTCTGCTCCTTCTCCGCTTGTATTATCTTCATTAGTTTCACGCTATAATTGACTCTAGCAATTTGCCTACAATTGAGGTCAGGCTTATTGGGCGGAAATTTGAAATAGGAATTACATTAGCCATCTTCCACATATCAGACACTACACCTGTTTGAAGAGATAAATTAAGAATATTAGTTAATGGTTAATAGAGTTCCATTTTACATTCTTTAAGAACCCTTGAAAAAGTTCATCAGGACCCGGCGATTTATTTTGTTTCAGTCGGTCTGTTTGTTTCATAACCATTTCACTAGTGACTGTGATGTTACATAATATTTTCTTCAAGCTCACTATAAAAATTAATTACTGGGATATTGTTAGTGTCTTCCTGTGTAAAAACCGAGAGAAAATAATTATTTAAAATCGAGCACATTTCATTCTCATTGTCAGTAAGGTGCCCATAGTTATTTTTAAGGGGACCTATCTTATCTCTAACTTTTGTTCTATAGACCTGGAAAAAACTTTTTGGGTTAGTTTTCGAATCCCTGGCAACTTTAATTTCATACTCCCGTTTAGCTTTTCTTATCCCCTTTTTAACGTCCCTCTTAATGTCAATATACTGATTCATAAGATGACCCTCACCTCTTTTGATACGCCTATAGATTCCTTTCTTTTTCCCTAAAAGATATTTGACCCTATTATTCATCCATTTTGGGTCATTTTTATTCGATCTAATTTCTTTATACGGGATAAATGTTCTTTGGGCAGCATGTATAGTGTTCAGAAAGCTGTCATATTGATAGCTCTCTTCGTTACCCCAGTCAATAGATGATAAGTGTTCTCTAAGCCTATTGTAATATGCTAAGCGAAAATCTTGGACCATTATTGAATTATCCCTACTGTCACATTTCCATTCTATGCTAAAGGTAATTGATTTTTGATCGCTTGTGCCAAGTTCCTCTGTAACTTCTAAATTATTAACAAGGGTTTCCTTGTTTGCCAGAACCAAATCAAGCAGGTTATTTCCCCTTGTAGGTTCTGTCACAAACTGCTTAAAAAAAACAATCCTGAGCTACTTCTTAGAAGTGGTTTGATTCTAAATTCCCAGTCAAGAATTTCCAATCAATCTGACTAAAGTTAAAGTCCCCTAGAATTACTACATTATCTTGCCTTGTGGCCTTAACAATTTCCTCCATAATCTCCCTTGGTCCCTAACATAGTTTGGGGGACGGCATATCACTCTTAAAAACAATTTTTCATGCCCCTCTGAAAATTCTGTCCAGACAGACTGTATGTATTACTTCAGACTTAATACCAGTTTTTATGCAACAGTTCAAGTTATCTCGGACATACAATGCCACCCCACCCCCCTTACCGATACTTCTATCTAATTGGAACAATTTAAAACCCTGAATATGACATTCCGCAGTTATGTCCCGACTTTTGGAATTAAACCACGTCTCAGTGATGGCAAATACATCAATGTTACCTGCACTAGCAACTAATCTCAACTCGTCCATCTTATTCCTAGAACTACGGCTATTAGCATAATATTTTTTAAAGACCCTCCTTTCTCTTTACCCATCCTGCTCATTTCTGTTTTTCCACTAAACCTATTACTGTCCTTATCACCTAGTGCTACTGCATTTCCAATATCCACCTCACTCTGCCTATTACTAGTTTCCCTAGAACTGATAATATTACTACATTGGGACTTCACTGTATTCCTGCCAAAACCCATACCACTAACTATTCCTAGTTGAAAGCTCTAACAGCTCCCTCCTCTGCAGTTGCCAGTGCCCCCACCCCAGACCTAGATAAGTGAACCCCATCCCTGGCATACATGTCATTTCTGCCATAGAAGAGGTCCCAGTTGTCAGTGAATGTTTTTGCATTTTCTTTACAATATTTGTCTAGCCAGCATTTGATACCAATTGCCCTGGACAACCTTCTTTCCAACTCTCTTCTTGTCAAAATACCCATATCGGGGCTCCCCCCTTCTTCCTTTTTTTTATTGCGACCTATACCTGCTAATCGGGTTCCCTCCTATGTCGCCAACGCTATTTAGCCATCGGACGACATATAAAGGGGAAACAGAGAAATCCTATTATCTGCTCCCACACGAGGCAGATAATGGGAACTCCTTTTACCTTCATGAGTCGCCCAATGGCTAAAAATATCCCCCATCCCCCCCAGGAAAACATGCCTCTGCCTCCCTTCCTGCCCCTACGCCCAAAACCCCACAAAAACTTTAACCTGTCCCCAAAACTAAAACAATGTTTTTACCTTCACTGTAAATTCGTCGGACGTTCTTGATGGTTTTCGCTGGGTTTGCAAGGGTGTCTTACTCACGTCGCATGTTCCCCTTGGTGCTCTTTGTATTTCCCAGTAGAAAACCCCACTTTCGCAGGTAGCACCAAAAAGGGGTTGGAAATTCCACAGTAGTCTTCTGGTTCTTTTTTTGTTTTTGCCTTTCCCAAAACACTCTTGATCCTCATTTGGGTTTTCCATTTGCCCGGGCCACGACCAGGTTCCCCCTTTAACGAGGACTCACAGGGGAGGTTTACCAGGAATCTTCTTGTTCTCCTCCGTTTTCCCTCCCATTTTTAAACCCAAAGCGCGGTAGAGTTGCTCAAAGGGGACATCTTGGTTAAGATCACAGGGAGCACACAGACAATTTCCAGAGCTAAGTAAAGGTCCACTGAGCTAAGTACAGGTCACCACAACTCCTAAGTACGGTCAACTTCACATCATACAAACAGGGACACTTCGATCTTTCCCTTTCCCTCAGCGCCACAATCAGAAACGACCGGGCTACGACTGATCCCTGTGGCACCCACTCTTACAAAACACCCACTCTAACCTCCCAGAACCATGACTTGATGTCTTCCTGACATATTCCCTGATCCTTGTGTGCCCTTCCCTTCCCTTGCCTGGGCCTCCCTTTTTTACAATCTCTTGGGTGGAACTGTGTCAAAAGCCTTTTTACGCCAAAAAATGAAACTACCCACCCCCCCTCTTCCCTTTTCTTGTCTTTGCCGTCCCCCGTCATGAAAACCTAGGGTTTTTTTATGCGGATTTCCACGTCATGGTGTGTGTGTGGTGTGTTGTGTGTGTGTGTTGTGTGTGTTGTGTGTGTGTGTGTGTGTGGTGTGTGGTGTATTGCTCACCTAATTTACTCACCCAATTTTTGGGTTTTAGGGGGCATTCATGTTCCTGTCCCCCCTCTTCCGGTCGCCAAAGGCCACCGCTCCCGACTTTACATACCCTCGTAAAGTGTATATTGGGACCCCCCCTCCACTACCTCACTTTCCAAACTTTTCCACTTCCTGACAACTCTACACGATGAAGACTTTCCCAATATCCCTTACTATGATTTTTTTAACTTCCAATTGTGACCCCCTTTTTGCTGGTCCCATCCTGGAAAATCCTGTTTTGCCCACCTTGTCGACCCTCCCCCTATTTTAATGTCATATCGTCCTCATGTCTCTCCTGTCCCCCAGTGTCGACAGTTAAAGTTTCCCCTTAAACCCCTTCTGGGGGGATATCCCCTTAGCCCGGGACCCTCTCTAAAACTTTTTTCACTTTTTATTTCCTGAAATGGGTTGCTAGACATGGGTTCCAAACAGAGCTGCATACCCAATATGGGCCGAGTACACGGTGTACAGGGACCGAACGATTCCCTTTCTGAGATGCCGAAAACTAACTTAGATTCGTTAGTCGCCATATGCTGCTGCAGTTATTTGGTTGATGTACACCTCAGGGAAAGCGTTTGGTATTTGCGCACTCCAAATCCTTTTTCTTTAGTGAGGTTTATAGCCTTTGGGCCCCTAGACTGCATTCTGCTGTGGTCTTCTTTGCCCTTCCCAGATCTTCATGACTTTGCACTTGATTGGGTTGCACTCCAGGAGCCAGTTGCTGGACGAGGCCTGCAGCCTGTCCGGATCATTTTGTAGTCTTCACTTGTCCTTCTCCGACTGAATTCTCCTCATTATCTTCACGTCCTCTGCAAACAGGGACACTTCTGAGTATTTCTTCCGTCATGTCGTTCACACACACCAGAAACAGTACTGGTCTTAAAACTGATCCCTGTGAAACCCCGCTCTTCTTAGACGCCCACTCTGACACCTCATTACATACCATGACTCGCTGATGCCTTCCCGTCAGGTAATCTCTGATCCATTGCAGTGCACTTCCCACTATACTTGCCTGGTTTTTCAGCTTTTGCACTAATCTCATGTGTGGAACTGTGTCAAAAGCCTTCTGACAGTCCACGAAAATGCAGTCTACCCAGCTCCCCTTCTCTCTTCCCTTACTGCTGACACGTTGTCATAGAACTCTAGTAGGTTTGTGACTCAGGATTTCCTATCTCTGATTCTGTGCTAGTTGTCGTTTATAAGCTCATTCCTTTCTAGGTCGTCCACCACTCTTCTGATAATCTTCTCCATGACTTTGCATACTTTACATGCCAGTGACACTGGTCTGTAGTTTAATGCTACATGTCTGTCTCATTTTTTTTTAAATTTGGACTATATTTAATGAGTAGTCGCCCTGTCTCGATAGATGTGTTGAAGATTGTTGTTAGTGGTACACAGAGCGCCTTTGTTCCCTCTCTCAGGACCCATGGAGAGATGTCACCGAGCCCCATCGCTTTTTATATATCTAGTTCTCTTAACACTCTCTTGTGAATGTGTGTGTGTGGGGGGGGGGCACTCGCATGTCAGCCTGAACATAAGAAAGAAAACAGCATTTAATAAAGCTGTTAATTTTTATTACTTTCTCAGTGTATAATAAATCCACTGCAAGCTCATCTTGAGCCAAAACACAGGAGCCTAAAACACTTAAATTTAAATTTTTTATTTAGACAAACAAAAAAGTTTACTTCAGTTTAAACCATTTTTTGAAAATATCCATTTAACGATTCTTATGGTAATGAAGTTAGGTCTTTTTACTAATGTTTTTTCTTCATTTTTGTTAGTAGGTTCACCAAGTGGTGATTCCTGCCGAGGAGATACAACGAAAGGCGCCTCTCACCTCCGTCGCTTACTTCATCCACGCTGATGGCCACATCCCCATAAGGCCCAGGGAATCTTCCACTGAAGAGCCTCCCACAGTGCTGGAATACGCTTGCAGCAGGCTGGCTAGGGCTTATACTCACGAATAACGACTTAACGCTTGCAGCAAGCCATCCCAGTAATCATTACCACTTGAATCATACTGTGAAGGTCGTGTTTATTACCACTTGACCAGTCTCCATCCTTTACTATCATCATCTTACCAGACTGTGTTCTGAGTAGAGTGTCCAGAATAAATGTGTGAAATTTCTGGTTTAGGCGTTAATTATTTTGAATCCAAATCAGCAGTCACTTTATCCAACATCATCGAGTCTACTTCCACACCAATTTTTTTTTATAATATTCTTTATGAATAAATGCAACAAATTATGTTTTCAAAAATCTGCTTGCAAAAATATTTTTTTTTAATTAATAATGTTTTTGGTTCCAGCTCAACACTTAGACACTATATCTAACCCACCTACAGTGAGAAAATAAAAAAAGCTGTAACCTGACAAATTAAGTATTCCTGAAAAGATACCTTTAAGATGCTGTCTGATAGTTGTTTTTCTCTTGTTTCTTCCTAAAACTTTTCGATTTTATTTCGCTCATAACTCGAGAACGCCTTGAAATTTTCAACACTTTGGTAAGGCAACCGGGACCAATTGTACTTTTCATCAGTTGTAATGTTGATGTTCAGTGTATCCAAAATTGTAGAATCCATTCCGGCATACTGGAATGCCTCGGAAACCCTCTGAGGTGTACTTTGAAACCCTTGAAACAGGTGCCAAAAAAAAAAAAAAAAAAAAAAAAAAAGACACCAGGGTGTAAAATTCACTTGTGAAGCTACGGATTAGGCTATTTTATGTGTAAAATAGTGTATTTTTTTTATTAATGGCTGAAGCATCTTAGGGCCAGGATAGTACCTAATATGTTTAGTTTTCATTAAGGTAAATATGATGATGCTATGCAATCCGCGCCATAACTGGAGGATGACTCATCTGAATGGTTTCTATTTTTGCTACTGATGTAATGATTTTTCATTCATTTTTTTTTTGCCTTTTTATCATTTCTTTTTCACAATTTCTGTTGTAATTATCTTCACACCAGCCCTAGATTAGTCAACCCCATCCCTGGCATACATGTCATTTCTGTCATAGAAGAGGTCCCAATTGCTTATAAATATACTTCTATGTTCTCACAGTGCTTGTCCAGCCAACAGTGTACACTGGTTGCCCTGGATAACCATTCTTTTCCATCTCCTCTCCCTTGCAAAATGCCATATATTACAGGGTGCCTTCCCTTCTTTCTAATTACGTCTATCATTGACCATAATCTGTTAATCAGGTCCTCCTACACATTCCAATTTCGTTGCCCCCAGCACTGAGACAGATAACAGGAATGTTCCTAATACCACTCATGACACTGTCAAGACAGCTAACAATATACAGTAAAACCTCGGTTGTTGAACGACAAGTTGTCGAACAAATCGATTTTCGAGCCGATTTGTTCGATTTGGTTTTCATACGTGGTCTTGGTGTCGACCAAGAACACTTGGATCACGTGATCACCAGGTCCATTAGCATGGGTCTCAATCCGTGTAGCAACTAATGCATGTGCTTGCAGTCACATACAGTCTAATACAGATCATCCAGACCATAAGAACGAAAAGAGGGGAGCCGAAACCTCTACAGAGAAAATTTTTTTACTGCCAGGAAGGAAAAAAGACTGGTAACAAATGACAGAAATCCTACACCAACTGAAAACAACAGATATTAATGCCAGTAAACAATGCCCCTCTAAATTCTAACAATTTAACTACATTTATCTTTGCCATCAACAAACAAAATGCCTTACATCAAGAAACTGCTCATGGATGCAAATGTGAAGTACACAGACTTTGTGAAAGCCATCGAAAGTGCAACCACTGGGCAATAGTGCACAAAATGCGTGATAAAAGAATAACAGGAAAAGTTGGTAGATGGATTTATAACTTTCTGACAAACAAAACACAAAGAGTAATAGTAAACAGAATAAAGTCTGAGGCGACTACAGTGAAAAGCTCTTTTCCACAAGGTACAGTACTCGCTCACATCCTGTTCCTTATCCTCATATCAGACATAGAGATGTAAGCCATAGCTTCGTGTCTTCCTTTGCGGATGACACCCGAACTGCCATGACATTGTTCTCCATCGAAGACACTGAAAGACACCAAGCGGATATTAACCAAATCTTTAAATGGGCAGCAGAAAACAATATGAAGTTCAATGAGAACAAATTTCAACTACTCAGATATGGAAAACTTGAGGAAATGAAAACTTTATCAGGTTATAAAACAAATCACAGAAAGAACTTAAAGCATTATTGAAAGTGAAAAAAAAATACTTCTCCTATGCCAAACCTAAGATGAAAACAACTTCCAGTATTGGACCCCTGCTTAGACGACATTGGATCTACACAGATGATAGCAAAGAAGTGAAATACTAAAGTCCCAATACGATTCAGGGATTTAGCGAGCCGTTAAACAGACTAAGGAATGACAAACTATATAAGTTTTATGACGACAGATTCCCGAAATTTCGTCATTTCAAGAATCTCTGACATTATCTTAACACCATAAGACTTAAAAAGGGCAATTAATGACAAGCCCATGCACTCTGCCCCATACCCGGACTCGTGGAACTCTGTGTTCATCAACAACTGCAAGAAGTCTCTGTCAGTGCCTTCATCATTTATGGAGAGGGAGCGTGCACACTGGAGTCGTCCCACAGTCACTAAAAAATACAGACATAGTCCCACTCCACAAAGGTGGGAGTAAGGCAATTGCAAAGAACTACAGACCGATAGCGCTAACATACCATATCATAAAAATCTTTGAAAGGATTCTAAGAAACAAGATCGACAACCACTTAACTACCCAGCAATTACACAACCCAGGGCACCACGGGTTTAGAGCAGGTCGCTCCTGATTGTCCCAGCTACTGGACCACTATGACAAGAACCTGGATGCATTAGAGGATAAACAAAGTGTAGATGTAGTATAAACAGACTGCGAAAACCTTCGACAAATGCGACCGCGGTGTAATAGCGCACAAAATGTGTGATAAAGGAATAGCAGGAAAAGTTGGTAGATGGATTTATAACTTCCTAATAAATAGAACACAAAGAGTAATAATTAACAGAGTATAGCCTGAGGTGGCTACAGTTTAAAGCTCTGTTCCACATAGGTAACAGCACTCGCTACCACCTGTTCCTCAACCTCACATCTGGGACATAGACAGGATGTAAACAAAGGCCGTGTCTTCCTTTGCGGGATGACACCCGAATTACCATGACATTGTCCTCCATCGAACCACTATTTCAGACTCCAAATAGACATCAACCAAATCTTTCAATGGGCATCAGAAAGTAATATGAAGTTTTCTCAGTGAATTTCAGCACTCAGAAATGAAAAACTTGAGGAATTTAACTTTATTGGGTATTCAACATATTCTAACCACTCAGTTTGGCGAAAAAAAAACTAATGTGAAGGGTCCTGGGAGTGATAGCGTCAGAGGATAGCACCTTAAAATAACACCACATTATATTACCTCATTGCTAGAAAAATAATTAAGATGGATAATGAGAACCTTCAAAAATAGGGACACCAACGCCATGATGATTTCATCAAACCGCTGTTCTCTCTTAGGCTGGGCATACTGCTTGAAGACTGGCTGCCCTTTCAAGGCAGGCGATATTGCTGCCTGGAAGAATTACAGAGAACTTTAACGGCACACATACGTACGATTAAAGCACCTTAAATTATGGGAACGGTTTTGAGGTCCCTTGATTTGTATTCCTGGGAATGCAAGAAGAAAGAAACATGATAATATGCACTTGGAAATTCTAGAGGTTGGTACAAAACTTGCACACGAAAATCATCCCTATGAAAGCAAAAAGACTCGGCAGGAGATTGCAACATTTTCCCAATGAAAGCAGGGGGTACACGAGTACGCTAAGAGACAGCACAGTAAATGAGGGATTTTACCAATAGACCTCTGGCTTGTCTTCAGAAGGCGCTGGAAAGGCAACTAGTCAGTACTTGACCAGCCAGGCTGTGGTTCGAACGTCGCAAGTTTGCTTTATGGCCCAGCAGTAAAGCGCCTTGGTTGGTCAGGACTCTGATCCCCACGGGCCGGGTCTCAGACAGGACCGCGGGGGCGTTGACTTCCGCGGCCCTTCCAGGTCTCCTGCCCGCGTTTCCCTCTCTTTGTCATTACCATGGACGGGTTCCTTGTCCATTTTCCATGGCCTTGGAAGCGGTTTGCCTGTCATTTTACATTGCCCTAAATGTTTTCCTATTTTAAATTTCTTCCAATCGCCTGGACGGGTTCCATGTCATATTCCATTGCCCTGGATGGTTTCACCGTCATTCTGAATAGTATTGGAAGGTTTATCCCTTTCATTTGCTGTTGTCTTGGACTGGTTTCTCCCCTCTCACGTTCCCCCATCATCTGGACGAGTTTCCCCATCATATCCATCGCCCTTGACGGTTTCCCTGTCATATTACATCGTCTTGGACTTTTTTTTCTGTCATTTTAATTGCCCTTGGACAGGTTTTCACCGTTTATACATCACCCCAGGACGGGTTTCCCTGTCATTTTCATCAATCGGGACTGGTTTCTTGTCATCTTCCATCGTCCTGGACAGGTTTCCCCGTCATATTTCATTCACCCAGGACGGTTACCTGTCATATACCTCTCCTTGGATGGTTTTTTCTCTGTCATTTTTCATCTTCCTGCACTGCGTTCTCCGCTATTTTCCATCTACCATGAAACGATTTCCTTGTCATTTTAAATCTCCCTGGAAGGGTTCGTAGGATTGAATGGTCAAGAGAACCGACAGTTGATGAATTAGGCACAAGTGCAAACTCTTGGTTCTTTATTGAGGAATCGTTTCGCCACACAGTGGGCTTCATCAGTCCATACAAAGGAGAATCTTGGAGAAACAGGAGGAGAATGAGGTATCAGTCAATCAACCTTGTGTCGATGCGTTCGTTCCATCATCTTGAATAGAATACGGCATATGAGCGGGAGAATGAGCTTATATACCGTAGCGGAGAGGTGCAGCAGTCGTACGGTGGTGTCACATTTGTTCAATGTTTTTCCTTTTATTTTCCTTCATCTCAGGATGGGTTTCCATGTCATTGTTCCACGCCTCTGGACATGTCTTCTTTTATTTTCCATCGCTGTGTGTAATATTCCATCTCCCCTGAACAGGTTTCTCCGTTAT